AGATGCCTGAACTCGGTCTGCTATTAGCGCTGGGGCTGAAAAACTATTCGTACTGGAAGGAAATCAACAGGCGCGCTAGCTCAAAGTGTCCAAACGCCTGAACTCAGTCTGGTCGGTGTATATTTTTTTCCAGGGATGCTTTTTCCTTGCGCCTTCTTCTCCTCCACGTCCTCCTTCATGAGACCGCGCCCTCCGCGCGCAGTCCGAGATTGCCGCGCCCGCATTGCACGAGGAAGCTCTGCGAGTTCCCGGCGCTAAGCAAGGTTGACGGCTTACCGCCGGCTCCCAGTTTGACCATTTATTTTGAGAAACCAGATTTTTCGCACCTATAGTGGGTAATGCCGCGTCTGTCAGTGCAATTCTCAGGTCCGTAGCCGCAGTATTACTATCAAAACACTTGGAGGAACCAACTTTAGGGAAATACTGAAAAACTTATTGTTCAAGTTTCTCAGCTCACCTTTGAGAAAGCTTCTTCCATATGTTCCGAGCAGCGCCGCGCGAGAAAAGAGCTCTACGAGGCTTCCGGCGGTAACCTGGTTGATGGTTCACCGCCGGATCCCAGTTGGTCGACCCGACCAGAAAAGAAGATGTGGTAATTTTTGGTCGGTTTTGCTAAGATTTGAAAGATATTTGACCATTCATTTTGAGGGGCCAGATTTTGACGTCCAGCATTAGTGTCTAGACTTCATTCTGAGAGAGACTCAGCTCTCTAGAGAGAGTTTTACTATCCAAAAATTAGCGGGAACCGGCATCATATTGACACCGAAAAATGCAAATTTGACGTTTTTATGGAAATGCTCCGAGAAGCTGTCTGCTCCGATTCTGAGCACTTTTATGCATGCAAAGAGCTCTACGAGGTTCCCGGCGGTGACCAGGTTGACGGTTCACCGCCGGCGCCATAGATTAGAGGCCAGACGGTGGTGGTGCCTGCCAGCAGCCCATCTCTGCCGGTCCAAGATCCCCGCAGCGAGCTGTAAAACTTCGCAGCGTGTCCGGGAGCGCGTTGATGGGCGCGCGTGCACGCGTGCCTGCACGCGTTCAGGCACGCGAGGAAGCGTGCCTGGCAGCGCTTCAGAAGCGTCTCAGGAAGCTTTCCCAGAGCTCTTCAGGAAAGCTGTCCACAGTATTCAGGGCTTCGCAGGGAAGCTTTCCAGCGTCTCCACAGCTTCGTCACGCGAGGTTTCCAGCGTCTCCATGCACTAAACCGCGTGCGTGTGCTGCGTTTGTGTGAGTGCCTCTTCGCTATTACCTCGTAGAGCTCTTCGGCATCAATGAGCTGGAGGAATTCCGGCGCGGGGTGCAGCTAGGTTCCCAGAGAGCATTCTGAGAGCTATAGGGTTTTGGATTAGAAGCCGGACGGTGGTGGTGACTGCCAGCAGCCCATCTTCGCCGCTCCAGAATCGCCGCAGCGAGTTGTTTGAGTTCGCAGCGTGTCTGGGAGCGCTCCCGGCACGCGTTCACGCGTTCGTGCTGGCAGCGTTTCAGAAGGGCTTCAGGAGGCCCCCCCAGAGCTCACCAGAAAAAAGCTGTCCAGTGTGAGTGCCTCTTCGCTCTCCGGGATTCGACGCTACCAAGTGGCCCACCTGGCCCGGGCAGTTGGTCCGAGAGCGCTTCCGGCACGCGTCCACGCGTGCCTGCATGCGTGCAGGCACGCGTGGAAGCGTGCTTGGCAGCGCTTCACAGGCGTTCAGGAGAGCTTCCCAGAGGCCGCTAGAAAAGCTGTCCAGTGTGAGTACCTCTTTGCTCTCCGGGGTTAAGATGCTACCAAGTGAACGCTATCAAGTGGCCCACCTGGCCCGGACGGACAATGTGGTGACTTCGGATCGGTTTCGCTAATATTTGAAAGATATTACCTCGTAGAGCTCTTCGGCATCGATGAGCTAGAGGAATTCCGGCGGCAGCTTGTACCTCGTAGAGCTCTTCGGCATCGATGAGCTAGAGGAATTCGGACGCGGGGTGCAGCTAGTTGGCCCACCCGGCCCGGGCAGGAGGTCTAATTTGAATCTGCGGTGAGTACCCACTGTGCTGGGCCCCCCAGCAGGCTTCGAAAGTGGCGACAGTTTCACAGATCGCAGCCCCCAGGGATGGCGAGGTCTAATTTGAATCTGCGTTGAGCACCCACTGTGCTGGGCCCCCCAGCAGGCCTCGAAAGTGGCGACAGTTTCACAGATCGCAGCCCCCCAGGGACGGCGAGGTGCAATTTCAATCCGCCGTGTGTACCCACTGTGCTCGGCCCCCCAGCAGGCTTCGAAAGTGGCGTCAGTTTCGCAGATCGCAGCCCCCTGGGGATGGCGAGGTCTAATTTGAGTCTGCGGTGGGTACCCACTGTGTTGGGCCCTTCAGAAGGCCTCGAAAGTGGCGACGGTTTCACATATCGCAGCCCCCCAGGGGTTGCGAGGTCTAATCTGAGTCTGCGGTAAGTACCCACTGTGCTGGGCCCCTCAGCAGCCCTCGAAAGTAACGACAGTTTCACAGATCGCAGCCCCCCAGGGATGGCGATGTTTAATCTGAGTCTGCGGTGAATGCCTTCTGTGCTGTGCCCCTCAGCAGCCCTCGAAAGTGACGGCAGTTTCACAGATCGCAGCCCCCCAGGGATGGCGAGGTGCAATTTCAATCCGCCGTGTGTACCCACTGTGCTGGGCCCCCCAGCAGGCCTCGAAAGTGGCGACAGTTTCACAGATCGCAGCCCCCCAGGGATGGCGAGGTGCAATTTCAATCCGCCGTGTCTACCCACTTTGCTGGGCCCCCCAGCAGACCTGAAAGTGGCGACAGCTTCACAGATCGCAGCCCCCCAGGGATGGCGAGGTGCAATTTCAATCCGCCGTGTGTACCCACTGTGCTGGGCCCCCCATCAGGCCTCGAAGGTGGGCACAGATTGCAGCCCCCCAGGGACGGCGAGGTGCAATTTCAATCCGCCGTGTGTACCCACTGTGCTGGGCCCCCCAGCAGGCCTCGAAAGTGGCGACAGTTTCGCAGATCGCAGCCCCCCAGGGATGGCGAGGTGCAATTTCAATCCGCCGTGTGTACCCACTGTGCTGGGCCCCCCAGCAGGCTTCGAAAGTGGCGACAGTTTCACAGATCGCAGCCCCCCAGCTGGCACGCAGCGACGAGCGAGGCCAAAGGCAAGGGGGAAGAGAGGGGCGGGAAGGAAGAAAGGAGACGCGCGAGCAGTGCTCTATTCAAAACGAGAACCCAACGCAGGAGGGTTGGGAAATACTTGGGAGCCGGTGGTAAACCGTCAACCTTGGTTACCGCCAGGAACTCGTAGAGCTTCCTTGCCATAGATATGAATGGCTTGCGAGCGCGGTAATCTCGCATTCAGCGCGCGCCAGGGTGTGCGGTTTCACAGGAATGTGCTTCGCAGCTCATTGCTTGCCCACAGCTCGAGTTGGGTTGAGACGAGCACCCGCGCAAGAAAGTACACGGCATAAGCTGAACAAATGTTTCCAGCATACATGTAAATGTTAAGAAGCTCTCGTCATGTGTAGAGCATGCGAGCTTGGTGACTGTTTGCGCAGCGCACATAGTTTTTTTCCGTCGCAGCTCTGGTAGCAGACCGGTCTCAGACCTCTCGATACTGCAGAGTGGCGCTCGTGATCAGGTCCATTCTGCTTTCCAGCTCCGCAGCTTGCTTACAGCTCGACGTAAGTAGAGAAAGCCAACGCCGCCTATCTCAACACCTCAAGAGCGCAAGTAGTTGCTTAGTCGCAGCTCTGGTAGCAGACCGATCTCAGCTGTCTAAATGCTTGACGCCCGCGCTTCTCAGCATTTCCTGTCGATTGGTGTATATCTGAGCTCCGTAGCTATCGTGCAGCTCGACTTGCGCACAGAAAACAAACATCGCCTGTCACAGAAATTTGAAGAGTGCGAATAGTTTTTTGGTTGTAGTTCTGGTGACAGACCAATCTCAGACGTCTTGATACAGTACGCGAGTGTGTCTGAGGATTTCCTGTTGGACGGTGGGCTTTCCAGCTCCCTAGCTTGCCTACAGCTCAAATGAAGTGAACAAACCAGCGCCCTCTTTAACAACAATGAAAATGTCAAATAGTTATGGGGTCGCAGCGGTAGCAGGCGTCTAGATACTTTAGCCTGGTGCTTCTCAGCAAGTCCTGTCGATCGGTGTGCATCTCAGATCCGGCATGCTTGACGGCATAATCCCTTCTTGCCCATGTCATCTGCGGAGCCCACTGACCATGAGACATCGTCGGGGCATATTGCAGGGATTATGAATATCCAGGCAAACACTGAACCCGAAGCCGAAATCGATTTCCCGGTAGGGGGGGTCTCCATTTCACGTCGGACTCACCCCCCAACCTCCGACCCAGTCACCCTCGCCGCGCCGCGTAGCTCCGTCTCCGCCGTGCACCCTGCCATCAGCGCCCGACGGCCTATCGCTGCCGGCGTCTGCGAGACCCAAAGCGGTATGTGAAGGTTCGGGCGCTACTAGGCGCGCGCGCGCGTGTGCTGTCAGCTTTCTGAACTTTTCCGTTTTGTCGCTGCGCGCAAGGCCGCGACGCCCAAAAAGTGCGCGCGTGCGTGTGCGCGTGTGTGCGCGTGTGTGTGTGTGTGTCAGTCAGTCAGTCAGTCAGTCCGTCAATCAGTCAGTCAGTCACTCATTCAGTTATTCAGTCAGTCAGTCAGTCAGTCAGTCAGTCAGTCAGTCAGTCAGTCAGTCAGTCAGTCAGTCAGTCAGTCAGTGTGTGTGTGTGTGTGTGTGTGTGTGTGAGAGTGTGTTTGTGTGTGTGTGTGTGCGTGTGTGCGCGCGCGAGTGTGTGTCAGTCAGTCAGTCAGTCAGTCAGTCAGTCAGTCAGTCAGTCAGCCAGTCAGTCAGTCAGTCTGTTTGTCTGTTTGCCTGTCTGTGTGTGTGTGTGTGCCTGTGTGTGTATGGGGTCCAGGCCGCTCCTTGTAGCCAGACGCACCCAGGACGCTCATGGCCACACGACAACCCCCGACCCTTCGCTCGAACGCCCGCCCGTTCTCCTCCAGCGGGCCGCCCGCGCGCCCCCGCGTCCGGTAACGCGCTCCCACCCCGCGGCCGGGCCGGCAGGCGCCCCGCTCTCCCCCCCCCCCCTCGGGCGGCGCGCGCAGCGCCATCCCGAACAGCGAGGAACGCCGCAGAGGGTGGATTGGGGAATGGGAGGGGGCGGAGGCGCAGGCGCAAGCGCAGGCGGAGGCGAAGGAGGATGAGGAGGAGGAGGAGGAGGAGGAAAAGGAGGAGAAGGAGGAGGAAAAGCAGAAGGAGGAGGAGGAGGAGGAGGAGGAGGAGGAAGCGGAGGAGGAATATGAGACGGCGGACCATGATGATGATGGTGATGATGATGATGATGATGAGGATGATGCTGCTGCTGATGATGATGGTCATGATGATGCTGATGCTGACGCTGGTGTTGATGCTGGTGCAAATGATAGTGATGATGATGATGAAGATGACTCTGATGATGATTATGATGTTGCTGATACTGATGCTGATGATGATGCTGATGCTCATGGTGACGCTGCTGCTGCTGCTGATGATGATGATGATGATGATGATAGTCCTGATGGTGCTGATGTTGATGTTGACATTGCTGATGATGATGAAGAATATGATGATGGTAATGATGATGATAATACTGATGATGATGATGATGATGATGATGATGATGATGATGATGATGATGATGATGATGATGATGATGGTGATGATTCTGATGATGATGATGATGATGATGATGATGATGATGGTGATTGTGATGGTGATGGTGATGGTGATTGTGATGGTGATGATGGTGTTGATGGCGATGATGGTGATGATGGTGATGATGGTGATGACGACGACCATGATGATGATGATGTGGATGATGATGGTGATGAGGAGGAAGCGGATATGGAGGTGGAGGAGGAGGAGGTATTGGATGATGATGATGATGGTGATGATGATGGTGGTGATGATGATGATGATGAATGATGATGGTGATGATTCTGATGCTGCTGCTGCTGATGATGATGGTGATACTGCTGCTGATGATGATGATGATGATGATGATGATTGTCATGTTGATGTTGCTGCTGGTGATGACGATGACGATGATGATGATTATGGTGATGATGATGGGGATGATGATGCTGATGCTGATGCTGATGATGAGGAGGAGGATTTATTTGTTTACGGTGATGATGCTGATGATGATGATGCTGGTGATACTGATGATGATGCTGCTGAAGATGATGATTGTGATGGTGATACTGCTGCTGAAGATGATGCTGATGATGATGATGATGATGATGATGCTGCTGATGATGATGATGATGATGATGATGATGATGGTGATGGTGATGGTGATGGTGATGATGATGCTGCTGCTGAAGATGATGATGATGATGTGGGTGAAGATGGTCGTGCTGGTGGTGATGATGATGATGATGATGACGATGCTGATGATACACATGATGATGATGCTGTTGCTGCTGATGGAGATGATGCTGATTATGATACTGACGATGATGATGCTGATGATGATGATGATGATGATGATGATGCTGATGATGATGATGATGATGATGATGATGATGATGATGAGGATTGTGATTGTGATGGTGATGGAAATGATGATGATGCTGGTGATGATGATGATGATGATGATGATGATGATGATGATGCTGATGATGATGATGATGCTGCTGTTGATGATGATGATGATTATGATGATGACGACGGTGATGATGATGCCGACGCGGATGACGGGGACGATGATGCTGGTGAAGAGGATAATGGTGGTGATGATGATGTTGATGATGATGGCGTTCATTTTTATACTGATGGTGATGATGACGATGATGCTGATGATGATGATGCTGACGATGCTGATGATGCTGATGATGGTGATGATGCTGGCGATGATGATGCTGATTCTGTTTCTGATGAGGCTGATGATGATGCTGCTGATGATGATGATGCTGGTGATAATGATGATGATGATGCTGCTGATGATGATGCTTATGATGATTCTGATGATGATGATGATCAATGTGATTATGATGATGCTGCTGATGATGATGCTGATGATGATGATGATGATGATGATGCTGATGCTGATGATGATGCTGATGATGATGCTGATGCTGATTATGATGATGGTGATGGTGATGAGGAGGAGGAGGAGGAGGAGGAGGATGCGGAGGACCAGGAAGGATGAGGATGAAGATTACCATGAGGATGATGATGAGGATGAGGATGATGATGATGATGATGATGATGATGATGATGATGATGATGACGATGGTGGTGCTGGTGGTGATGATGATGGTGATGATTAGGATGATGACGATGGTGATGATGATGCCGATGCTGATGACAGGGACGATGCTGCTGGTGATGTCAATGTTGACAATGCTGACGATGATGCTGCTGCTGATGATGCTGATGATGCTGATGATGATGAGGATTATGATGTTGATGGTGATGATGATGATGACGACGACGATGATGATGATGCTGATGATGATGATGAGGATGATGATGATGATTATGATGATGATGCTGATGCTGATGCTGATGTTGATGCTGATGCTGATGATGCTGATGCTGATGATGCTGATGATGGTGATGATGATGATGATGATGATGATGATGATGGTGATGATGATGATGATGATGATGATGATGATGATGATGATGATGATGATGATGATGATGATGATGCTGCTGCTGCTGCTGCTGATGATGATGATGATGATGATGATGATGATATGCTGATGGTGATGGTGATGGTGATGGTGATGGTGATGGTGATGGATGATGGATGAGAGGGAGGAGGAGAGGAGGAGGAGGAGGAGGAGAGGAGGAGGAGGAGCAGCAGGAAGAGAAAGCGGGGAGCATGAGGAGGAGAAGGAGAAGGAGACGGACGAGGAGGAGGATGAACAGGAGGAAGAGGAGGACGAGGAGGAGGAGGAGGAGGAGAGGAGGAGGAGGAGGAGGAGGAGGAACGAGGAGGAGGAGGAGGAGGAGGAGGAGGAGAGGAGGAGGAGGATGAGAGGAGAGGGGAGGGAGGAGGAGGGAGGGGGAGGATGATGATGATGAGGAGGAGGCGGAGGAGCAGGAGGAGGAGGAGGAGGAGGAGGAGCAGGAGGAGGAGGCGGCGGAGGAGGAGGAGGAGCAGGAGGAGACATATGAGGAGGAGGATGGATGATGATGATGAGGAGGAGGAGGAGGAGAACGAGGATGAGGAGGAGAAGGAGGAGGAGGAGGAGGAGGAGGTTGGAGGAGGTGTATGAGGTGTAGGAGGGGGAGGAGGAGGAGGAGGAGGAGGAGGAGGAGGAGGAGGAGGAGGAGGAGCAATCTCCCTCTTCACATGCCCCTACAACGGTTCTTCTCCCCTGATTGAACTGCCTCGTTGGAAAACAACCGTTTGAAGAATTCGAAGCTTGCCAAGACATTGTTCTCAGGATTCCAACGCCACGTATCAACCTTACTGGTGAGTCTTGACGATCCTGAATCTTGCCAGCACGCCATTCCTGGGAATTCGGCACCGCGAATCAACGTAATTGTGGCGTACTCATAATCCTGAATCCTTCCAAAACGCCATGTGTGGTACGTTGATCATGGGAATCCGCGGTGCTCTTGCAATCTTAAGAACAACACGAACGTGCGCGGCGCTAAGGCGGGAACAGCATTTGAACAGGAACCACCCTCAACCAGTGAAACTCTTGCATGTTACAAAAAAACGAACGTACAGGCGAGAGCCACATGTTGAAAACCAACCGCCCTCAACATGTGAAGCTCTTGCAATTGTTTGAAACACGAATGCGCGCGGCGCGGAGGCGAGCGCCACATTTTGAAAACGACCCGCCCTCCATCTTTGAAGCGGCTGCGAACTTTTCAGCTTGTGGGCCATAATTGGAGAGGAACTCTCAGGCGAACCGCCCCGCCCGCCTTAGAAACTGGCCTCGGGGTGCGACAAGGAACAGTTATTTTCAAGGAACATGAATGAACGAGGAGGCGGAGGAGGAGGAGGAGGTGGAGGAGGAGCAGGAGGACGAGGAGGAGGAGGGGGAGGAGGAGGAGGGAGGGAGGGAGGAGGAGGAGGGAGGGTTCATGATGATGATGAAGACGATGATGATGCTGATGATGATGGTGGTGATGTTGAGGTTGATGATGGTGCTGATTCTGATGATGATGCTGGTGATGATGCTGCTGATGATGCTGCTGATGATGAGAATGATGATGCTGATGATGATGATGGTGATGATGGTGGTGATGGTGGTGTTGATGCTGATTCTGATGATGGTGATGGTGGTGATGATGATGATGTTAATGCTGTTGCTGATGATGGTGATGGTGCTCATGATGATGATAATGATGAGATGATGATGGTGATGATGATGATGCTGATGATGATGTTGATGATGATGATGATGCTGCTGATTCTGATGATGGTGATGGTGGTGATGATGATGATGATGCTGATGATGATGATGCTGATGATGCTGATGATGATGATGATGCTGCTGCTGATGATGATGATTACGATGATGATGATGATGATGATGATGATAATTATGATGATGATGATGATGATGATGATGATGATGATGCTGATGCTGATGCTGATGCTGACGCTGCTGCTGCTGATGATGATGATGATGACGATGATGATGATGATGATGATGATGCTGATGATGATGATGATGATGATGATGCTGATGATGATGATGATGATGATGCTGATGATGATGATGATGATGATGATGATGATGATGATGATGATGATGATGATGATGATGATGATGATGATGATGATGATGATGATGATGATGATGATGATGATGATGATGATGATGTGATGATGAGATGATGATGAAGATGATGATGATGAGGGAGGAGATGGAGGAGGAGGAGGAGGAGGAGGAGGAGGAGGAGGAGGAGGAGGAGGAGGAGGAGGAGTAGGAGGAGGAGGAGCCTCGACCCCCGAGCCTCCCGACACCTGCCGCTCCCGACACCTGCCGCTCCCGACACATGCCGCTCCCGCCACATGGCGCTCTCGCCCCCGCCTCGTCGCCCCGCTGCCCGCGGCCTCTCCGCTGCTGCTGCTGCTGCTGCCGCCCCTGCCCTGGCCCGTCGTAGACTCGGCGGCGATGCGGCCACATCGGATCGTCAGAATATCAGAATCGAATCGGGTCGAGCCGGCCAGATTCGACATCGAATCTGATCGATCGGATCGACGTGTACCCTGGTGGGGTCGGAGGATCGCGCTGCCTCGCCTATGCATCGGCGATGCATCGGCGATGCATGGGTGACGTCGGCGACGCATCGGCGCAGTCAGGGTGGAGAAAATCGGAAATCGGGCTGCTCTTGGCGGCAAACCCGGGGGAAGCGAGAAGGGTGGGCCTTTTGAGAAGGCTCGGAAGTCCCACGGCCTTCGAAGAAGTTTCCTAAGTCTTCCCCGAAGGCACAGAACACCTCGCAGAAGGCGCGAGGGCTTCTGAGGAGTCCCGCCGCCTTGTGAGGAGGCCTTCTCCTTCTTATTTCCCCCCTCGCTCGCCGCCGATGGACGCCAGAGAGAAGCCTCGGCGGCGAACTCGAACCCCACCCTCGCCGATCATCGACTCGGGCGACTCGCTGGGCGGCGGGGGGTATTCTTTTCGGAGTTTTGTCGAATACGTGGCGAGCTCCGAACCCCGCCCCGCCTCCCAGCGATTCAGGAGATGGGTACCAGGCCTCGCCAGGGGCGGCGTCCGCGCCCACGGGGGAGCTCGGGGCGGGCTTGATCTTGGCCAGCGCCCGGAGCTCGGGGGCGGAAGGCCTGAGGAGGTTGCCCCCCCACCCCCCGCGCTTTGGGTTGCAGAGCCCTGCGCGTCACACCATGCACGCCCGCTTCCCCTGGAGCTCTCCGCCCGGTGGCCGCCTTGGTACGTCTTGGCACGCGATGGCCGGTGGGAGCAGGGGCTCGGACATCGCCGTCTGAGGGCCGCCCTCCCAGAGCCCAGGCCCTCGGCCTCCACGCTGGAGGCGCCCGCCCCCGCCCCCCGGGGCCTCGTCCAGGCTGCTCCCTCTCCACCACCCCCTGCCCTGCCCGCTCGTGCTGCTCCCTCCGCCCTCCCTCCCCTCCCCTCCCCTGCCCTCCTCCCGGCTTCCTCGCCCGGCCTCCCTCCCCCCCTGCTCCCTCCTGGCCCCCTCCTGCTCCTCCTTCCTCCCCCTCCCTGTCCCTGTCCCTCCCTCCCTCCTTCCGGATGCCCTGGGTCACCACCGTGACAAGCCTACAACTTGAGACAAGGAGACCGGACGGCCATACGCGCGCCCGCTTTGTTTGGACCCTTCGACTAGCAACAGCATGAAGCGAAAGAGAGGCGGCAACGTAAGTCGACCTTCCGCCCCCTCTGAAGACCGCCCCCCGTGCGGCGCGGAGAGTCCCCGCGTGGCAGGGGCCGCCGCGGCGCGCCGCCGCTCGCCAGGCCACGCCGAGAGCCACACGCCCGCGGCGCGCGGAGATCCCCGATCTTTCCCTGTCCAGTCCCCCCCTGTCCTGGCTTCGTCTCGCATCACCGAGCGCGTTCCATTGCTCGCAGAGCGCCCACTCGCAAGCCTTCGAAGAACACATGCCTGCCTCGATGTCACGAAGGCGCTCCGACCCCCGTCGCGGTGCGACGACGAGGCGAGGTTGACCCCTGTCGGGGGGGTACCCTCCCACGCGTACTGAGAAACTTAGGGCACCGTAAATCCCCCGCGGCGGACCTATAGACCATCTGCGAGTAGTTGCTCTCCGAGGAGTCGAACTCGCTCGGCTCTCTCGCAGCTTCGCTCGCCCTGCCGCCCGCCCGCCCGCCGCCTGGGGCCGCCGCCTGCCCCCAACGGGGGCGAGGACGCCCCGGTGACCGGCGGCCGCCCGCCGCACATGAGAGCGCGGCGCGAGGGGGGAGGCGGCCGCGGCTCCTCCCCGGGGGGGTCGCAGAGGGGGGGGGGGGCGGCGGCGTTCGTAGAGGGGGGGGGGGGGAGGTCCGTAGAGGGGGGGGGTAGTACATAGGCGGGGGACGTTGTTTCGTCGATGCGGGGGTTCGTAGAGGGGGGGTTGTTCGTAGATGGGGGATTGTTCGTAGAAGAGGGGAGTTCGTAGAGGGGGGTGGTTGCTTCGTCGATGGGGGGGTTCGTAGAGGGGAGATTGTTCGTAGAGGGGTCTCGTCGAGGGCGGCCCTTTTGGAGGTTCGTAGGGGGACGTGGTGATCCCAAGGTGGGGTCAGGGAACGAACCCGGTTGGATGCTCACGTTCCTTGCCCCCCCTCTGCCCTTTGCCGCACCTTTCGCCCCGCCGACTCTTTCCTGGGGCTTGCAGGGGCTCTCCGCCGCCGTCTGCCTCCCACTGGGCGCTCTCGCCCCAGTTTCGGGGCCTCGGGCAGGCCGCCCACGATCCGATTCGGGTGCGATTCGATTCGGCGGCTGGGGCCGCTCCGATTCGACTCGGTCCGATTCACCGGCCGCCAGCTGGCGATTCCATTTCGATTCACTTAGGGACGATTCTCTGCCGATCCGATCAGTTCCCGATCCGCAAGGGGCCGCCACAGGTGGATCTGGCTTGGGAGATACCGCAGGACGCCTGGGTCTGGGGCTCGAGTCGTGACTTTTCAAGGTGCTGCAGTTCTTTTCGGAGGCGTCGGATCTCAGGGGAGACCTCCAATGGTATGCGGGAGAAGACTCGGGAGTCGGTTCGAGGGTCGGGGGGGGATTCGACGATCGAGGATGTACTGTTTTTTTTGTGGTGGGGGTGACTCCAGAGGCCCGCGCTGCAGAGGCATGCAGCTACCTCCAAAGACCTCCCAGGAGGATGCAGGAGGAGAATCGGGGGAGGGATCAATCAGTCAATCAGCAGGATGGATTGAGGAGGGATCAATCAATCAATCAAAAGCCGCGTGGCGCACTCATGAGCAATGAAAGGGAGCTAGCGAGAGCGGCTGTACTCTTGCACCGTGCTCGTCCAGACGCTGGCCAGCATAGCAGCAACCTCTGAACATATTGATATTTCTATTTGTGCACATGATGGAGGAGGGAGGATCGAGGCAATACAAACACGGATACAGGCTGGTGGATTAGCGACTGGTTCCGTTTCCGCACGACATAGGCGCGCTTCGTCGCCAAATGAGGCATCGGCGGCATGCCGATCGTTTGCTGGCGCACGCGATCGCCGGCGCGGTCATTGCCTGGCTCGTTTGAAATCGAGGGTGGTCACAAGCGAGGTAGGCACACACTAACATGGATTACGGATCCGTGGGTCTGGCGCTCACTCGCCAGATCCACGGATCCGTAATCCGTGTTAAAGCGTGTCCCAGAGGAGGGAGAAGCAGGTTGACGCTGGGCCTTCCCTGGGGGAAGACGGGGATTTATAACATCCTCTCCAGCCTTCACCTCCTCTTCCTCCTTCCCCTTCTCTTCTTATTCCTCCTCATCCTCATCCTTGTCGTCCCTTGCTACTCCTCTTCAACGGCCCTCTTCATCCGTCACTTTCTTCTCCTTATTCTCCTTTACCTTCTCCTCCATCTTCGATTCTTCATTTTTCCCTCCTTCCCTTTTCCTCTTCGCCCTTATCTCTCCTTCCATCGGTGATTTGATCATGGTCGTGACGGTGATCGTCGTCATCATTATCTCTAGCATCGTCAGCAACACCATCTCCACCACCACCACCACCACCATCATCATCATCATCATCATCATCATCATCATCATCATCATCATCATCATCATCATCATCATCATCATCATCATCATCATCATCATCATCATCATCATTATCGTCATCATCATCCTCTTCATTATCATCATCATTATCATCGTCATCATCGTCATCACCCTCATCATCATCATCATCATCATCGTCGTCACCATCATCATCAGCATCATCGTCATCATCCCCACCATCATAGTCATCACCATCATCAGCATCCTCAATATCAACATCATCATCAGCATCTTCATCGTCACCATCATTATCTCGTCTCACCTCGACCGTGAGCACCATCATCACCAACATCTGCATCGTCATCATCATCATCACCATTATCATCATCACCACTATCATCTCCATCTCCATCACCATCACCATCACCACCACTGCCACCATCATGACCACCACCATCACCACCACCATCATCATCATCACCATCATCATCACCACCATCATCATCACATCATCGCCACCACCACCATCAGCATCATCACTATCAGCATTACCGTTGGCATCATCGTCATCATCATCACCACCATCATTGTCATCATCATCATCATCATACTCATCATTATGCTTATGATTATGATTATGTTTATCTTGCATGCGTATACATGGTATTAGTGTTATTACCATCATCAACCTCACCACATCACCATCGTCGTCATTATCATAATTGGAACTGCGTCATCGCCACCATCACCATTGTCATCCTTAACATATTCTTATCACAGCACCACACACATCATGAACACCACCATCATCTTCACCACTATCATCATTATCAGCACAGCCATCATCATCAACATCATCATCGCTATCATCATTATCATCGGTATTGTCATCATCATAATCATCATCATCAGCATCAGCATTAGCATCAGCATCTGCATCAGCATCATCATCATCACCACCATCATCGTCATCATCATCATCATCATCATCATCATCATCATCATCATCATCATCGCCAGCATCATGCCGATCACCATTCCCAGCTTAGAATTCGGCATTTTGGTTTTGGCACCAGCTGGCCCACGTGCCTGTCGGAACGCACGCGCATCCACCCTCGGGCCCTCGCTTCTTCTCTCGGACGCTGGTGGCTGCTCGCCTGGGTTGGGCTCGCAGGGCGGTCTCGCAAGGTCTGCAAGCGCACATCTCGTCTGGCTCCGCGGTTGCAGATGGGCGTGCCAAGGTGATGATCGTCGTAAAGGCACGACGTGCTTGCCATTGCCCCTGCTGTGCGAACCCTGCTGTGTGGCTTGCTTGCTGCCGTCTCTGTGCGTGCTGCATTGGCGGTGGCAGTCAATCGTGGGCACAGGCATGCTTCCACTAGCTCAAGCGAGATACACGTCCGGCTATCTTGGCTGGTGCTGCGGCGGCGGCCATGCTGGTGGTCGTGACGGAGATCGTGATGACCCTTCGGGTGGTGGTGGTGGCGTTGGGTATCGTAGTCCTAGTGTGCGTCTTGGGATGGATGTGCTCGGTGGTGGTGGTGGCGGTGGCTCTCATCTACCCTGTGTGCGTCGTGGGGATGGATGTGCTCGTCATGCCGCAGATCCGTGGGCTGGCCGAGGGTGCGATCCTTGGTCTGCTGGGCCCCTGCCCAAAACGCCCCATGCTCGTCTTCTCGATGCTGGTGTCGCTGACCGTGGAACCCGTCGTTTTTGTCTGCCCAGCCTTCGTCGTCCTGTTGCTGGCGCAGTTCACGGAGCTCTTGCAGTTCATCCTGGTCTGCGTTTTCCTGATGCTTATGCCGCCCGTGGCCCTGCTGAGGTTCTTCAGGCGGATCATGGTGCTGGCCGTCATTGTAGGGAGGGGCTTTTTCTTCTTCGTTGTTTTTGCTTTCCGGCTGGTTGTGCCGTTGTGCTCCTGGTGAGGTGGTTCACTGGCGGGATGCTGGACGTGCGTTTTGGTGCTGATGCTGGTCGTTTTCCTAAGGTTCGCTTTCTTGACGCTGATGTTGTTCGCGATGTTGATCGGGCTCTTTATTTTCGCCCTGGACGTGGTGCTATTGCTGCTAGTCATCGTGGGCTTGACTTTGGCCCTCTTGGTACTCATCCTTGTCTTTTCCCTGATAATTTTTTTTTAACGACGTTCGTGATCGTTTCGGATGTGCGTCGTCATGACGCTGATGTATTCTCGGTTTGTGCCCTTCCTGGTCATAATTCTGATTTTCCTGCGGCTGGTCGCGGTCGGGTGGGGGATAATCGCCATGCTGCTGATTGTGTCCGTCTTGGTGCCGACCCTGGGCTTCGTGTCGATCTTGGTCGTTTCTTAGGCCTGGCCTTTGATCGTGGCCTGCGGGCGCCCCTGCTCTACGGGTTCTAGTGCACACTGTTCTTGCTCTTCTTCGCCTTCCTGGTGCTTGTGTTGCTCCTGTTCCTTCTGGTCGTGTCTCTGGCGATGCGGACGCTGCTGTTAGTGCAGACCCGTTGTGTGTGCCCTTGCAGCAGGCGCCCACTTTCCTGATTCTTCAGGCGCTGGCTGCTGGTGCGAGGACCGTTGAGCGTGGCGTGGTTCCTCGAGCAAATTTCCTCCCGCTGTGCTGCCGATTTGGAATGGAGTTTCGCCACTTGAAGGCTTATGTTCATAGGCGCCCAGGTGCCTGTGTCTATTCCTGTATGTTTCGTTGTTTGCCTGCCCGTGTGAACGGCCTTGAAGAGCAGCTCTCTCACTGGATTATTGAAAGCATCGATGCTAGTCTCGGTCCCGCTTTGCGTGGCCTTCCAAGAGGTCCCGACTCAGAGGGCGACGTTCCCAATACATCATCATCAGCCCAGACTGTCACCATAAACATAATCGTGGTCCCCGTCCCTCCCTCGACCTTTCTCTTTCCATCCTCTCCCACGACCCAGCCCCTCACTGTTTCCCTCCCCTTGTTGTCTCTACATCCACTCAGCAGGTGTTCGATATGAGTGCGGCAGTCCCCTCTCCCCCGTGGACGGCCTGGGGAGACCAGTTGCCCCCCCACCCGTACCGGTTTTTTCACGCGCAGGGCTCCATCATGTGGTTTGTATGGGGTAGACGTTAGACTCGAGTGCGCCAGAGCTCGGGTTTGCCGACGCTTTGTCACGGGCGCGTCCTGCGATTTGACGGTCCAGTTCGCGGGCCGTTTGCAGCCGGAGCTCGCGTCAAATTCCAGGCTGGGTCTCGTCATTTTCTTGGCGGGCCTCGCCAGGCCAACCCGAGTCCGACTTCCCGAAC